CTCCAGTGAATGTACTTGCGGATGGGTACTTGTTTACTTGCCCTGTTTCTATAATGCATGTCAAGTACTTGTCAAGTACCCACAGAAATTGGCAAGTAAACAAGTACCCATCCGCAAGTACATTCACTGGGGTTCAGCAAAGTCGTTCCGAATCAGTTATAAAAAAGCATCGGATGTCTCACTTTGTAGAAAAAAGTTTACTCGACTAAAGTAACGCGCTAGAAACATTTTAATATTATATATAGCGAGAATATGATACATCGAAAACGCACAAAAATGGTAGAAAAATAATATAGTCGATTACTTTGTCGCAATTTTGCTCAGTTTTAGACAGTTTTGCTTACATTTCTGTCAAAGATGACACTAAAATATTTTTTGCACTTCAGTTTGATAGAACAAATATTTTTCTACAAAATGAGACCATCGACAACTCTAAGTGCTTTTTTATAACTAATTCGGAACGACTTTGCTTAATGTTCTAACATCGATTATTAATCGGTGCATGCCTTCGACAGGGATATGCTTCCTCACGTTTCTATGAATGTAAATGATGTTAAGGTTAAAAAGTTAGAACCCAGTGTATTGTAGAACCTAATATTATTGTACAATATTATTGGATGAACAATATTATTGGGTATATAATAATATTGGGATCCAGTATTATTGTATACCCAATAATATTGTACAATATCTTCAGTTATGATTGGTATTTGTGTATGCCTAATATTGCATAAAATCGTAAAAGTCACACTGTAAAGAATAAAAAATTGTGTAAATGATACACATAAAATAAACGCCAAGTCGATTCCCAGTGATCGTCTAGAACGTACGGCGTAGGTGTGTAAAATACACGCGCAGAAATGATCTTCTAGCTTTACACATTGAGACCAATAATGCAGTCTTGTTGTCTAAATCGTATGTGCTGGAAATGTCTCAGATCCATCAATCAGTTGTCAAAGCTATCATATGGTAATGTTTTTTTTCGCGTTTTTTCTTATCTGTTTTGGCTAGGGGTGACAGCATATATATTTTCGAGAACGGTGATCATAATTCTGAAATCATTTTTTCGTTTGATGTAGTAGTTTGCGAGAAAAATGACAAATAAGAAACTTTTTTAATACATCTAGTTTTTTATACACTGAGATTGACTGTCTGGAAATAGTACACACGTTTCGATGCCGAGTGACAGTTTAGACGATTTACACACCTAGTAACACACTGTATTTTTTACAGCGCATCATCGATGTAAATGTGATATAGAATACATATTTTCAATATCCTTGTAAAATCGTTTAGTATAAAGTTTGAAAATGACGAGTATGCGTAGCCCAAAGAAAAATTTCTGAAGTTTTAATCAGATTTTTTACCCATATTTGAAATATATTAGTGGAGGTATGAAATGGATACTTCTTAAAAAAAAACGTCAAGACATTTTATGCGAGAATCATGTTTTGGAAGACTAGATCGGCCTTTTTTGTGTCATGGAAAGAAACGCTAAAATTTTCTTCTCAAATTAAAAGACGTGCCTCAGACCCGCAGACTCGACGAATTGTATTTTTTGCGGTAACCTGGAAAAGTTTTAAAGATTCTGTATTGTGGACAGCGATTAGTGTAACATGGAACTATATAATGTATGATGATAGAATATGCCAGTGTTTTGGCATTTTTGATATGCGGGACGGTATTTTCGAACATGTGAGAAAGGCGACACACTCTAAAAAAACATACGACTTATTGGAAGACACATAAGTCGTATCCCAAAAAGCCGTGTTTAGTGTTAAGACGCAATCTAGATCTGTTATTACGTGCTGGTGATATTCTGGTCTAAATGCTGCTTCGACGAAAAGTGAAAACTGGAAAGATGATTCTGTGCTGCTTTCTTACTGTGCCTATAATTGACTGAGTAACGTGGTAGCTTTTCTGCATCTGTTGCAATATTTTTATTGGTTGCCTCTTATTGAATGTTTTCTTGTTACATTGCGAAAAATATAAACAGCAGAGATAGTACCGATTATGATTTCTTCATTTGTAGGGTGTGGCATGAGTGAAAAAAATTCTCGATGGAGTTGCTTACTTGGAAAAAAATTTCTTTAAAACAGATTTTAGTTGGTTTTGATATCTGTGAAAATAACCTTCTATAGGAAGACGAGTTTTTTGAAAATAAAGGAAAACGTTTTGTTTTTGTGGTAATGAGAATCTTCATTTACTTTTACTTCTACGGGTTTCCCTTCAAAAAGATTAAAATTAGTGAGTAAAAGAGAGGAAAACTAAGAGTCGCTGGAAAAGTGTTTTATAGAGCAGAAAGCTTTAGTCAAAAGTAGAAAAAGATTTAAGAAGGCAAAAACGTTTACTAAAGCCTTTTTTAGGGGTTTAGTAAAATGCAATGACACGCTTCCGCTCCCCGGCTTAGTGAGCGACTAAAGCCTAAAAGGGTTTCTTACTTAACTTTTGAAGCGGTAGCCTGTCTGCTAAACCCAAAAGGGGTTCAGTAACGACGCTTTTTGTTTATTGTGTATGCCTGGTATCTGGTAAATAAATACGAGAATATAAGAGTAGAATACTGTATGAAAAGAAATGCGGAACGCGACAAAAAAGGAATCCATAGGGAACTTTCTTGTTGAGAGAGATCCTGTACGGTATTCTTCTTTTACGAAGATTCGATATCAAACCACTTGAATGGTACTTAAGAAGTTCTATCTAGCATCGTTTTTATAGAGAGCAGTCACTAAGCGATATAATACACTTGAAATTTATAGAATGCCGGATAGTCGCTGCACTAGAAATGATTTAGATGTAGGAGTAAACGTTTTATTGACAGCAGAGCAATACCCTGTTATTGATTTTCTTTGCTTTTTAGAACTTCAAGCTTTACTTACAAAATGTTTTCAATTGTTAACAAATCTTACAAAATTTGTTGATTTTAAGCTGACGAGGTAACGTTCCCAACTGTCAAATCGCTTTCCGATCGAAGCCTAGTGGACTGTAAATAATCGACCATGCTAATTCCGAATATCAACATGAGACGGGATGCAAAATCGGTTTTCCGGAAGCTTCAAAAAATCTGCGAAACTTTTCTTTATAAGTCATATCTGTAGCGCGCGAAATCCTGATTAGAATGAGACATCCCCCAGCTCTACACAACCTTTCTTTGCAAAGTTATAGAAGAATAGTTATAGAAGAAAGAACAGCCCTAAAGGTTCATTGTCAGCTGAGAGATATAGAAAGAAAAAGGAAAACTAAATTTAGAGCTTTTCTTGTCAATTCTGTAACTTTGCAAAGAAAGATCGTGTAGAGCTGGAGGATATCTCATTTTAACCAGGATTTCGCGCGCTACAAATATGAATTATAAAGAAAAGCTTCGGAGATTTTTTGAAGTTTTCGGAAAACCAGTCTCTGGAGGTCTAGCAGCCCGTCTCATGTTGGTATTTGGAATCAGCATGGTCGGCTATTTATAGTCCACCAGATTTCAGTCCGAAAGCAATTTGACAGTTGGAAACGTTCGACCGTGAGCGTAGCTCAATGTCGAGGAAAGGCTGAGCTGCAAAATGAGATCACTCTCGGCATTCCACGACCTTTCTTCAAAAAATTATGATCTTTTTAAGTTTTACCTTCATAGCCTTAAAAAGCTCAATTTTTTAGTTTCATAAACGTTTGTCTCCTTTTCTGAACATTCACAATTCTTTCACATAGTCTGATAGAAGAAAATATTGAGACATTTTCCGATGAGCGTTTGTGGATATATATATTTTATTTTTATTCATATATTTTTCGGTTTCATTATGTCATATTACGACCCCGATTAAATCTTATCTGATTAAGGTGAAAGTTATATCAGAGCTACTCGCGGCACTATTACAGAGGTATCTTTTTTTTTAATTTTATTTTGGACTTTTCTTGATCTTACCTTGGTCTTTACCTGCTTTGAAGTAGTGAGTGGGAAAAAATTATCGGATTATTATTATTATTTCAGCACACTAATGAGTTTTTACTTCTATCAGCAATAATACTTTTGACCAGATGATGAGTACACTTCGTAGAGCATTCATCATCTAAACTTCCATGTGACTAAAACACAGATCGGCAATAGATTTCCTACATTGTAGTTGGAAAGCTTCTCACTTGCACTGAACTCTCAATACTCTCCCTATACTGTGACTAATTGGATAAAATCATATTGATAAGAAAAAAAATATTTATCCCATGATTCTTTACTTCCTGTAGTTGAAAAAAAGACAAAAATTTTTTTTTCATTTCTTTTCTATGATTCACGGTGATTCATTGCAACTAGGGACAGTACAATCAGCCCACACTATAAAAGCATATATAATATAAGATTATGTCCTTTTATACGTTTTGTTTTTTATTTCGAATACTTTCGATGAATGTATAGAAAATAAAAAGGTAAAGTTGTGTAAGATCATTTGTTTCTAATTGATATTTGACGAAGCTTTATTAGCAGCAACCCAGACTCTTGATAACATGTAGTAAACGAAATTATGTTTTATAGTATCAAACTGTCGAAATTGTTGTTGAAAAATTGCGCACTCATTTTTTCCAAGCTTCTCATTCTTTTTTGTAGATATTCATACACAGAAAAAATAATCAGCTTATAGTTTCATAGTATAGAGAGCTCAGTGCAAGTGAGAAATTTTTCATCCACAATGCAGGAGATTCTGATTGATTATTTTTTAATCAGATTTTATCATTTTGGTTTAAAAATATGGCCAGAGAATGGATGTTCTAAATGAATATCAGATAAAAAATGAATTCTTGTTTTTTTGGAAATATCATCACATGAGTTTTGTCCATTGTATATCGATTTTTAATTATGAAAAAAGTCGAAATTATCGAGTTTCAATTGTTGAATTATGGTTGTAGGTAGTGTTCGCGATGTACCATATTTGCTATAAATAAATCAAAATTCTAGGCGGTAAATCTAAAGAAAAGTGTATTTAAAACCAGTGAAAAACACATCTTTTAAAGATATTATTATATTGTTTTCTCACAAACGAAGGACAACAACAATACAAAATTTTAATCATACATGGTGCACTGTGTTCTTTCATTATTTATTGAGTAGTAATAGACGTTAAGTGTCAAACAGTCCGTGTCAATTTTTGTCGTCGTTTTTATCCATCTGTGTAAACTACTTTAAAGAGCTTTTTGCAAGAGAGTCAATGATTTGGGTTTCTAGTCACTTTATAAAAGTATATGTTTTCGTTATATAATCATATCATCTACCCTAAGTTTGTTTAGATTTCTTTGAAAAAAACGTTGTCGGCTTACAGTGTAAAGGTTTCTCGATACTTGAGACAAGAATTTTTTCATTTTTCTATGAATAGTTAATATTTGGATCATTCACAGTTTTTAAGGACAATACTCATATGGTGATGTATGAGAATTATTTTTTTATTTAATGCACAACATCCATTCTGTGACCGTTTTTTTTAAAATTGAAACATATTTTCTCTATCAATACGGACTAAAAACAGGAAAAAACATGGGAAGAGATATCACCTTTAATGCTCTGTACCACTAATGTAAACTATAAGATTTGTGAATAGGACAAACGGTGAGTTCCTTTTCTATTTTAATAGTACTCGTCAACTGCTGGTTTCAACTAGTAAAAAGCTACGAAAAGCTTTCTCCTTAGAAAGTAGTTACATGATATATCTTTCTGTGAAATTCACGTTTTATTGATAGTCAACTCTATGAAAATCTCTGTTCTATGATAATATTGTACTTGTGTTTTCGATGTTTAATTATTATTTAGGAACAAATCAATTGCTCAATATCGGGCCAATTGCTACTATCTCCACATACATTATATATAACAATGGATACAGATTTGAATGTGTCGTCAACTCAGAATGTTATGGACACAGCTACTCATCTTGGTCAGGTGGAACCAAATGAGAATGCTGTAGTAAATCCAAACTCAAATAATAATAATAACGCATCAAATAATGGAATAACTTTAACTTCACAGACACACACAGAATTACAGAGAAAACAATTTATACAAAAACAACTTGTATTACTATTACATGCACATAAATGTCAGAAACGAGAAGAAAATGATAAACAACATACAGGCTGTAATATATCACATTGTAATACAATGAAAAATGTTTTACAACATATGACACAATGTCAAAACCATCAAACATGTCCAGGTAATTTAATCAACATATTACATCGTTTTCTCTAGAAATGATTAAAAAAAGAAAAGATTCGACCAGATACTAACCTTTACTTACATCTTCTGTTGTCACTTTTTGTGGTACATCTACAGTCAAAATGTGTAGTCACTCAATCCATGCTCTCACTTCTATTTTATACTAAGTTGTCATTATTACAAAAGTTTATTCCTGTTTTTCTAATTCAGCTGTGTTGCTCTATCCCTAGTGGTATTCCCGTTTCATTCTTGCTGAGATCTGATCGCGTACCCGATTTTTTCCCCTGTAACGAAAAAATGCTGATCTTGGCAAAATAAAATCGTGTTCTTGATCAAGTTCGTTATGCGATCCCATTTCATTCGTGTTTCGAGACAGTGACGGGATCGCGGCAGGATTATAGCAAGATCGTGTCTAATTCGAGACAAGATCTTGAGGAGATTTTTCCGTTGTCCACCGTTGAGGAAAAGTTTTTATTATTATATCTTTCTGTTCCTTAAACTATCAAAGTACAAAATCAATCCTTGCACGAAATTAGGATCATACACTGACTTCGCATTTTCCTCTATCTCAGTCTGTAACGATGTAATGTTCTCTTATTTCGTCCATTCGTTGATAGAAGGAGAAAAACAGACAGACAGTGTGCGTATATTATCGTCCACTGTGTTTATTCTTTGTTCTCTTTTACCGTATATAATAGATATACAATACAAGCCAGTTAGTCATTTCTTAACCTTTTAACGCAGTGCAACGAGGGTTTTTCTGCTAGTGTTTTTGGGGGTTTTGTTGTAGTTAATGGAAATAGACTAACTATTCGACTATTGTCATCAGTAAGCACACAGCAATTTTCAAGAGAAGAAGAGCATTCGAAGAGGAAAATTTATTTTTTTGTCTCAAAGTTGAATTATTTTCTTCTTGACAGTTTTAGAATCGAAAGGGAATATTCTTTCTCGGACAATGTACCACATCTAAAGTCTTCTCCCATGTGTAGGTTCAGTTAAATATGTTGACTGTGCAGAAATCTCAGAATGAAAATGCATAACGGTGAGAATAATGCACACAAAGGTTGAGTTATCATGTGAGTTCCCTCGGTGTAAGATCGCTTGGCCGTTTGAGTCTTTCAGAATGTAGCAACGATCATTTCGATCCTGTTTGACGCACAATGGATAGTGACACAGCTAGAGCACCTCAATCACAGGACGTTAGATTGACTCTAGCAATGAACTGGTCCGAGTGTCAATTATCTACAGATACACGTTCACTGGAACTTCAGGCGTGAATGTTTTCTTCACATACGGCAAACGTTACCTTATTGGCACAATTCACGGATGAAACACAAAGACAGCCCCTCCCACTTCTATTCTGAGATCCAATGCCAGTAACGTTTCGAATTAGAACTGAAAAATACACTGATGGCGAACCTAAAGATACATCTGAGACGAAACTTCTCACCGGCAAAAACAATATCCCACGTTAGATGAGGAAATTAATAATAGTTCAATTTCGTGACATTGAAATGAAATGGAGTTTATAACTCAAAACAAAAAAACTAAATTGCTGTGTACTCTGAAGACGGTGTTCTACGAAAAAATCTCTAATTACTTCATGTTCTCGAACAAAATACCGAGTAAAACATGATGAAATTTGACGAAAAAGAGATTAAACCATAGAAAGAACGTAGTAATAATCAGATAAGTGGCAGGAAATCTTGCTCAGTCTTTCTCCAACCTGGTCCTTGCTAGCCGCCACTCCTTTTATTCCAATAATAACAATAAAAAACCGAAAATCTTGATCCGAAACAAAAGCCCTCTTTTCTCTTGACTAAACAATCCTATATATATATAGTATCAGTAGAGACCAAAGAATATTAACTCAACTATTTTGAGTCAACATTCTTTCATGACAAAAAAGAGAGAGAATGGCAGCGTACCTATCATAACATTTTTGACTCAACTCTCTTCGAGTCGACATTCTTTCATGACAAAAAGGGAATGATAGTGTAGCTGTCATAACAGTCCTAATCACACCGGGATCTTGGTACGCTCTTGTCCGGATCCCGTTTTAATCCTGTCGCAACCTTCGCGATTCCGTCATTTCGCGTCAAGGTTATTAAATTTTCGTCACACGGAAAACATAGCAAGATTAGGTACGATTGCGGTATCGATCCCGCGCTAAGTTTCAAATTTCTTGTCAAAATCGTGGCAAGATGAGGCTGTATTCTTGCCGCGAAATGAAGCCGGAATGCTACTAGGGATTTGACTAAACGTGTAGTCATTCTCCAAACATTAAGCTCAATAAACCCATTCTTATACAATGAAATAAATAGTCAATTCAGTTTTCTATTTCTATTTTTAACATATGATCCATTTACTTTTAGTTCCACATTGCGTTACATCAAGACAAATTATATTACACTGGAAAAACTGCAAGAATACACAATGTCCAATATGCCAAATATTAAGATCACCACCAGCATCACTAACACCACCACATCACCAGAAAACAAGTGCTAAAGAATGGTCGAAATGTGTAACAGCTGAAATGCGTAATGATCTAGTACAAAAAATTATATCAGCATTAATACCAACAGCAGATATAAATGTATCTTGGGATGAAAGAATGATTAATTTAGCTAATTATGCACAACGTATTGAAAATGAAACATATGATATATCTAATAATCAAGAAGAATATTTTCATAAATTAGCTGAAGCAGTCTATAAAATTCATAAAGATTTAGAAGATAGACGCGAAAGGATACGTCAACTAGAACAACAACAACAACAAACAGGTAAAACAATAACAACAACGTTATCATCAACATCATATACAGATCCATTATCATCAGGACATAATATAGGTTTAACGGACGGCTTAGCGGGTGAACATGGTCCACCAAATGATGCTGCATCTCAATCAGATATACCATCATTTTCATTATCAACACGTTGTACAGATGTTTTTGATTTAAATGACTTACTCTTACTTTTGTGATAAGACATTAAGATTTAGATAGGCACATTTCTGAACATGAAACTAATCTCTTTCGTCGAATAACAGTGATAGAACAGGATGAGAGTCTACAATTCGAAACATCTGCCCGATTTTTCAGGTGAATGCTTAAAACTTTTGATGTTTTTCCAAAAAACTCAAGAGGCAAAAATGTAGCTTTCTTGTGTACGTTGAACAACTTTTTTTGTAAAAAAATGTTCATACTATCCTGCTTTTGTTCGTTTTGAATATTCTGGCTCATTTTTCGAAATAAAGCATTTCTATATGATATCTCGCTATTCGGTGATAAAAAAACAAAAGTATTGAGCTGCTTTCAGAAAGTTTCTTCTTCTCAAAAACCTTGACTCTAAGAAAAATGCATGCTCAACTCTGGTGTCGACGCGTAACGCGAAATTCACCGTCGCACATTTTTGCAGTGGACTTTCGGCATTGCCGAAAGTCATACGTTGAACTAAAAATTACTCTCGACAAAAATTGAACTTTCGACTAATGGCCGAAGTTCCGATTCCAGTTACGGCGAAAGTTTTGCTTACAGCATGACAGTTTTATAGTCGACCAAGCTGTTATAGGTGGTTGACAACATGACAAATATGGCTAATTGCTGAGTTCTACGACACCAACAAACCTTTGGGTAATTGTCAAAAGTCCTGCTTTAGGCTAAAA